AAGATCTGCACTTGACTCAAACCGAAGAGAATGGGATTTTGCTTTGGAATCTTTTGTTTTTTCCTGAAAAAAAACCCCTAATTTCATAGAACCATAGAATCACAGAATGGATTGGAAGAAACCTTAAAGATCAACTAGTTCTACTGGGTATCAAAGTGCTAACATTAAACAAATGACCATGGAGGAACTGAGCCAGAAGTTTTATTGTTAGGCCAACATGAAGGACAGCTACTGCTAAATAACGCAGCAAACATCCAGGATTTTTAAAAATCTTACAGAAGTCCAATAACTGACTCAATAGTTAGAAAAATGTTTGTGAATAGAACATTCTTTTAAAGCCTGTTACAGAGTACCCTGTGCTTGTTTTAGGACTGTCTATACTTTATTTTGACTTAGGGTTGATCTGAATTTTGAAAACAAAAGTCATTTTTGAGTAATTCCATGCTAGACAAGCCACATCACATACTCACATAGCTCACATTATCTTATCATGTAAAACAACATTGTTGTACGGTCACGTTAGATGCTGGACAAACCAAGTGCTGACAGTGTCTGCTCAGGGGGAGGACCAGCACAGGACTGGGACTGCTGAAACCACTCAATATCCTGATTTAACTCTTTCTGCACTCTCTCATGCTGATCAGCAGTCTGGTGTTCCTCCCTCAAAGCATTCTGCCCACAGAAGAAGCACTATGCACATTCCTGACCTACCAAGGTGTATGAGAGGGTTGGGAGGGAAGATGGAGATGTTCCCCCTCCCTGCCTTGAATCTACGAGATGCTGAGAACAGCTCCCGCTAACCCCCATTTTTCTTCTCTGAGCCAGTGCATGACCTCTTCAGTGAAAACATACAACACATTATGTAGCTGCTATTAGTAACAGAACTGTGTAGTTCACAAAACTAAAAAGGTCAGATTAATATTAATTACCTTATAGGTATCAAGTTATATGCCATATATATTTCTGCTAAAGGTCAATATGGCCTTCCCTCATTTTATATCCATCTGCTTCATTAGGTAAGGGAATGTAAGCTAGATATAATGGATTTTTTTGGTAGTTTTAATCAACAATTTCATCAAAAGCACATTTTTCACCTGTGTCAACAACATAATGGAAAACTAGATCAATACGTTAATTATGCCAACTGCTTTCTAAACTCCATTTTTAAATTAATTATGATAAGTGTTGTGGAAATTAGAAAGAAAAAAACCTTTACAACTAAAAGGTATTGCCTTTCAGATTCAGGCAAATGGTCTCAAAAATACGGTTGCCTATTTTTATTTTCCAAAGACTTTTGTTATTGTTCCATATAAAAGATCAGAAATTACGAAGCTTTTAACTGTAATGTCCATACAGTGGCAAATAAGCAGCAGAACTGATTTTGGTAGCACATTACACAGAGCGGGATGAAGGAACAGCAGATTGCTATATGGTAGAAATGGCAATTCTAGTATGACTCTAGCGAAAATCCAAAATATTTACTTTGTGGGACCTCCTTCCCAGATCACTATGGTGAGGATAAATTTCCTCATCAACTCCATCCATCCAAGGTTCTGTGACCACCCCAGGAAAAGAGGTTAGGCCTCTCTCAGAGGTCTTTGTCAGAGCCTTAAGGAGGCACCTCTAGAGTCATGATGTTTTTTGTTAGAAAGACTGTTTCCATACTGAAAGGCTTGTCTCCCAGGATACTGAGATCTTATAAGCCTAGAAAATGGGGAAAAAAGGCTACAAATCAGCTGAAATTTCTCTGCAGACCTTACCAGGGTTTGAAAAACTTTTGGTCTCCAGGGAAAGTGGGACCAGCAGTTCTCCCCAGTTTGCCAGCCTCGTTAACTCCCCCTATCACACCGTCTACACCCACAGCTCCTAATAGGTCGAGTATGTGCTTCTGAACAACAGGGCACCATGCAGAGAGCCACAAGCAAGCACCAGCTTGGGCCAGTAAGTCTCTACACTACTTAACACAACACAGATCCACAAGTGATTGCCTTGGGGATAGAGCTTATTAATTTGGATAAAAACCTGCAGAAGTGTAGCTGAACATATTCAGGTACAGCTCACGGAGAGGAAGGAGTGTCTTTCCCTTCTTGCCTCAGAGGCTCCAGTTCCAGAGCGAACTTGCACTAAGTCAGCTGTAACATCTCTTAGTCTGCAATCTAAGCCAGTTTCACACAGGTACTAATAACTACTCCATGTTATGTTCCAGTTTTCTTACCCCAAAAGGCACTGCTTGTTTTTCAGCTCTGAGCAAAACTGAGAAGACTAAAGTCAGAGGGAGGGATCGATTCAGCTAAAAATTAACAAAATAATCTAAGTCAGCAAGTCTTCCATACCAAGGTCTATTCAGCTGCTGATCCCGTTTCTTCTCTTCATTCTCCCAAAACCAACACATCCTTAACACTTATTTCTTATTTCATTCACATATTTTAGTTGCCTGATAAAAACGAGAGCTGAGTTCTACATTATTTTCTTCTCCTTGAAGGGCTCACTGGTTAATTCCCAAAGACATCTTGCTTCCAGGCATTCCCTGAAGCTGTCTGATAGAGAAGTCTATACCGTTTGGGGAGCTTTAATTTCAGAGAGTAGTATCACATTATCCTGATCCTTTGACGCAAATGATAGGTCAAATCTGAAAACATCTGGGGCCAGAATCTTTGCTGGTTGTGGCAAAAGGGGAGAATTCTAATCTTCCAACTGTGAAGTGAAGGGAGACCACTGCAAGTATTAAACAAATAATTGTGTGAGCAAAGGAATAAATTAAACCTGGTGTCTTATGAACTTAAGGTGCATAACAGCATGACCTTGGACTGAAGCTTTTCCATATAGTCCTGTTATTTACTGCAGCTCTCACCTCCATAAATTCTCTGGAGTCTCATAATGTGTAAGTTCACGCTGCACCTTTCCCTCAGCTGTACAACATCAACATTTTTTTTCATCTGTCTAGCTCCTTATTTTTAGAAATTTGTTAGAACCCAGTTACCCTGAAACTTCTGTCGTTTCATCACACTTGGTTGGAAAAGGCCACTAGATTCAAAAATTATTAGGGGGTACACAAGGACAGATACATGCACAGAGACAGCCTGATCACAGATGCCTTGTTTCCATAGGAAACCAAACTAAAAATAGACAGTTTCCTAAGTGTTAAAGATGGAATTTTTATTTGTTTTTGCAGTTGGGAACCAAACAGACCCACTATTCACATGGCTGTAGCACATGAGAAATATGAAGGAAAAGCAATCTTCAGTTTTCTGATAGATTTCCTCAAGTGGAATACAGTGACCAAAGACACAAGAGCCAAGTGTCCAAAGTCTGCAACCTGCTGGGCTGGATGACAGGTTGCCTATGTGACAGTATATGTGTGCTTTTTTTTTTCTGTTAGAACTACCTTTAAAATCATTTGTTGTTTGACAGAAATGCAACACATGATGGCATCAAGTCTGTGTAAACTTCATTGTTTTGAATGATCAAGGCAAAAGTAAGGTCTCTGTTTGGTTTTTCATTCATCAAAAAATGATCAAACAGATGTTAACAATTCAATTCCCCCCCCCCCCAAGTTGCTAAGTATCCACCTCAGTGTGGCATGAGGCAGGAAATGATAGCTGGACATACCATGAGTGAGAATGCACAGTTTGCTTTTATAATCAAAATAATATGGTCATTATAACCTGCATATGAGCTGTGCAGGGCAACCTTTGGCTGCATCCTCATAGAAGCTGACATCTTACATATGAATGTCTTTGATGTATTTGAGGTGTTTGAGCTGAATCACTTGGGGATATTATATAAAGCTGTCTATAGAGGTGAGGTGAGGCTCTCGAGTGACGGATAGGAGAGATGGGGAGAGTGACTGACAACTCAGGCTATCTGTGCATCATCCAGCTAAACACATGGAGATCTTAGGACCACAAGAAGTGTATAAGTACAGATAATCTAAGAACACCAAGGGGTCTCAAAACAGAAGGCTATTTTTACGGTGTAGTCATAACACGGAAAGAACTTCCATGACATCTTATATGGCAGCACGTGAGACTGTTGCATGAAAACAACCTTTTAAACCCCACTTTTCATGGGACTGAAGCTGCAGGTGGCAGAGGCTGATTATACCTATTGCTACCACTCCACCTCAGGTGAGATCTGAAAGGCTTGCTAAGAGGCAGAACATGTCCATACAGCTGTACAGAGACATGGATGCCTCAGCCATCACCAGCAAACAGCGGATGCAGCTGGAAATTGCCCAGAGAGTGGTGTCATGGCATTCATTTACATAGCTTCATGCAACAATAGACAGCAGTGTAACATGGTGGGGGATCTGTGCCTCAAACCTCTACGCAACTCAGCTGCTGCTGGGCCTCGGCTTACTGTAACCACTTTCTACTTCCTACATCAGAGTCACAAAATCACAGAATCGTTAAGGTTCTTTGAGAAAAGCACTCTCAGACCATTGAGTCCAAACGTTCCCTTAGCACTGTCAAACCCACCACTAACCTGTGCATCCAAGTTCTACATCCACACATCTTTTAAATCCCTCCAGGGTTAGGGACTTCACCACCATCCTGGGCAGCCTGTGCTAGAACTTGACAATCCTTTTGGTAAAGAACTTTTCTTAATACCCAATTTCAACCTCACCTGGTGCAACTTGAGGCCACTTCCTCTTGTCTGGTCCCTTGTTCACTGGGAGCAGAGTCCGATGCCCAAACCTGGCTCCACCCTCCTCTCAGGGAGGTGTAGAGAGCAAGAAGGTCTTCCTTCAGCTTCCTTTTCTCCAGGTTTTATGCTGCCGGAAAAGTACTGAGTCAGTCCTAAGAATCATATTTGCAGTTTTTAAGGATGGGAGGTGCTCCCCCAGAGTGACAACCCCATCCTTCCCACCAGCAGCCATAGCGCGAAAAACCTTGTGGCTGCTTTCTCCTCCGGTACAGTCAGATGCCAGCAGACACAGCCCTTGTGTGGACAAGTACTGCAGATGTATAACAACCTTGCAGGAAAAATTAATAACCTTTCGAGGAAGGGTGCTCAGGGCCTCCTCAGGCAGCACACAGCCTGCAGTGCGTTGGGTTGAAGCAAGGGAAGCCATGTTTTCACGAGGCTCCTCATCTTTCCGCCATAGCTCTGCTTTAGGGGACAGAATAATGTCCTGAATAAAGAAAGTTGGAACATGGAGTAGGTGCAAGACCCCAGACAAGAGGTGAGCGGGCAGCTGAGGAGGGTGTCTGTGCTGACAGTGAGGCGTGAGGGAAGGAGACGAGTTCCTGAGGGTGCAGGGCTGAGGCAGCTGCCATGATGGCGGTCTGAGGGGGATCGCCAGCCCCTGATCATAAACGAGTTAAAAGTCATGTCTGAAAACTTTTTCCACACCGCAACTTGGAGGCTGGGTAGAGAAAAGGTTAGGAAATGCTAGCTTAAATCCAGGATGGAGTTTTTCAAGGATAGGTTGTTACACACAGATTGATGCCACACTGTTGTCAATATGCCAGGGGTAGTTTTAGCTGTCAACTCTGTCAGAGTCTGCCAACCAACTTTAACTTGTTTTCTGACTTTTCCAAATGTTTTCCAAGTTTTCGCTTGCTGTGCTGAGGATAAATTGTCCCTCAGTTTCTGTAAAACCACATTTGTTTACTTGTTTCCTTTTCATCTCCGTTTCTTTCTGTGGTTTTCCCTTTTTAGGGAAAAAAAAAAGCACAAAGCTTGCACCTTTGCCCAACCATAATATAAACACAGTTCACCGAAACTGTCTCATAAACCATAAGGTTTTGCTCATCCTCTCTTGTGCAATACACACTTGCCTCCCTCTTGAGCTGGATGTGCTCCACCATGGCCCTGCCCAAGGTAAGGGACTGGGCAGGACATCCCAGAATAAACTCAGGAATAAACTGCTACAGCAGCTCTTTTCTGCATTTTCCTACAGGTGAAGACTTCTTTCCTCTGGAATGAAAAAATTCAAGGAAAAATCTTACTGTTTGGTCAGAATTATCTGCCATATGTGCAAAGGATTTGAACAGGTAAGCTACAATCCTTTCTCCCTTTCCCAGAGCCTCCCTGGACTGATACTAAATAACTCCATTTAGAAAAAAGAAAAAAAAAAAAAAAAAGGTAAAAAACAAAACAATCTCTCATTGCAAACACAGTAATTACAGTGAAATAACATTTAAGGAATGTTAAAAGGACTGGTGACTTCAAAGGTTGAAACATTAGAAAGCTGAAATTAAGACTGCACTACTTCTGTGTATGCATTATGCTACATTTACTTGCCTGTGTGGTTTTTTATTCACATATAAGATAGATGGGACAAAAAAACTTCTGTTTTTCCTCACAGTTTGCTGTGTGGTCCCGGGCCTTGTTTACTGTCCTGAGTTATTAATTTCCTCTTCAGCCTTTTACAGTACTTTTTACAGTCACATTTATATATGCGACAAACAAAATTTAATTTCTTTTTGTTATACAACCAGAAGGTGAAGTGAAATGAGGCACAGAAAGAAAAAATAAGGCATGGTAATGTTCAATCATAATTATTTTACAATATTTAACATTAGATTGTCATATTAATACATTAATTTGTGGTAACTACAGAAAAATGTGTTCTTATGACCATTATTTTAATAAAATGCAGAAAGATAAAAATCTGGAGCAGTTGGATTAAGTAAATTACATTAGTGAGTAATTAAATTCAGTCATTTTACTCCTTTGAATCCACTAAATTCACAGTAATAATATGTATAAAAGAGAATTTTAGATTCAGGCTTCTTTCTGTTTTCAGTGTATTTTTAAAAAAATACATCTTTTCAATATACTCATAGTTGATACTTATTTTTTAACTGATATTTGAGTTTATTATACATGTTTTATGGAAATACTAAGTTAAAATTTACATATTCCTGACATGGCTCTTTATGTCCTCACCTTCAGCTAGTTCAGCACTTCAGTATTTCTAACCCTTGTCTATCAGTTTGGGCCCTCTGAAAATGAGATTCATGTAAGTGACCATATACCACTGACTATGTGATCTGCCCATCACCACATGATGACTTTAGTAATGGTACTTAGAGACTCTGGATCTCAGCCTTAAGTGGATTTAGCTCTCCTGTAACTCCAAAGAATATCTACCTAATTTATTACCTCTAGTTTCTCAATACATGGAGATCCAGAAGAGTCTACTTCACTACTCAACCCTGGTTCATCCCAATGTAGGTCAGAACTATGCAAAGAATAAGGCAACAGACTTGTAGAAAAAAGCAGCATGCAATTATGTTATTAAAGATATAATGCATATGAACACAGTGAGTTCAATTTCAACTGAAGGAATTGATTCTGTAATCTCTTTTACCATAAGTCCTTGGCATTGAAAGATGTATAATTTTAGTATAGTTCCTGCCTGTCATCTTTCTAAAAGGATCATAAATAAAATGGAAAACAGGTCTTGCATCACACTGACATCCCTCTGGGTCACTCCTGAGTCTGGGACCTTTTGTACCATAGCTTGGACCTCCATACCTGAGCCAATGGAGCAGTTAATAGCACCTTCTACACACGCTGTACCCACTGGCTTCCTACTGCAGCTTTCACCCCTTACACTTTTTCCATAGCCAGCTCCAGTCCTTTTTTTCCCTTGCTAACTTGTCAGACCTGTTTTCTTCTACCCTGTGAGTGTCTCTGGTTTAGAATTTAATCAGTAAGAGACTAGAAACAAGATCTATAAAAGGCTGCTGAACCCTTCTCCCTACCATAGTATGGAAAGTCAGGCTTGTTCTCTCAGGTATGTCTTGGAAAATTAATCAGGATGAATTTTGATAATGGGTTAGATTAAATGTAGTGATGGGGGACAGAGGCACATAACCAAAACATCCCAATAGAGGTTTCAAGCATGAAGTTGGTGGACATGAGATGCTCTGCAGTAGTTGCCTGCGTGCTTGTTCTTTCTCTACTGTAATTTAAATATAACATAGTCCTGTGTGAAATAAACTGCTTAACGTATACTTCTACAGGTATATGCTTGCATACTGATCATAATAATGGTTTATATACGGTAGATTCACAGTCAAGTTTAGGTTACTCTCATTTATTTCTAGGCCTGTGTGAGAATGAAGTGGCCCTACTTTGTGTGTGTCACACTTTGCATCAAGGTCACTGTCATTCTGCGTCCACCAAGTGTTTCATGAAGGATAACAGATACACTCTTAATTCGCATTTCAAGTCAATTCAGATTTTCATACATATTGCCAAGTAAACAAACACTTTTCCACCTCTTCTAGAGTCATCATCCCAGGAGGAAGTTGTCATGTTGTGATCCAGCTCTGTGAGTGGACCTGTCTTTGATGGCTGTGGTAAGTCTACAGCAGAACTATCAGGGTTTTCTCACTCCAAGTCATATAAAGCATAACAGTAAAACATGCAAGAGGAGGTTGTACATGATATATCACAAAATGTGGTTTGGCACCAAGCACAGTAACAGTTTAGGGAACAGGCTGTTCTTTAAATAATATGCTTTTGTTTTCATGTTTAATTCTTCGTGCTGCTGATTTACAGCAAAGGCTTTTTCTTAGGAAAAAAAAAAAAAGTAGACCCTTATCTAATGCATCAAAACAACAAAGTATGTGGTTTCTTTGTCAAACATTTCAATAACTGATTCGGCTTTCTCAGAGGCATTTGTAGAACTCACATGGGAATAGGATTCTGGGGTTTTTTTTCACTTGAACCGTGGGCTGAATTTTCAAATGTTGATGTGTGCAGATGTACCTGCACAAATTCACATGCTCGACTTCAAAAATCTGATCTTAAGCACACAGCAGGTGAGTGAATGAATATGTGGGAGGATGAGGGGAAACTTCAACATTTACCTAAAAACATCAAAAGAACTGTGAGCTGAGAGTGCTTGTCACCAGGCTTTGGCAGAGGTCAAGGGGGTAATGTAATTGGCACCTTTTGAATTTGGGGTTGTTATGTTGCTAAACACAGACCCAGCAGCTAACCCTCAAAAAACAGGAGTTTCAAAGCTGCACTTAATTTCGTCTATTTTTCTGACTCTCTTCCCTTTCAAAAGTAAGTTTATTTTCTGTCTTACTAGGTGTTTATACTGAAAACACAGTAATAACTGTAGAGCAATGTCTGGCTTAAAGTCTGTAGTGGTATTACAGGTAACAGAGGAGTTTAGTGTGTGATGAGGGGTGTTGTTTGATTGTGTCACTGCAGTCAGCTCTCTGCCTTCCTGTATTTGCCATAAGTTGCAAAAAATAGCTGAGTGATCAATTTTTCAATTCTATCACAAAGTAAAAATTAAAAAAATGTGCTCTACATCATCCTGAATTTAACATTCAAATGTAAACTAATTCTCTTTAACCCCGTTTTTATATCACTTACAATTTCTTGGGAGTCTTGTCTTCTTATAGGTTTAGGTCAAATTTTAAATGACAAATACTTGGCTCTGAGGGAAAATTCTTAAACAAAAAGTAACAGCATTCCTGAAATTAGACATCTTTATTTTGAAAACAACCAGAAAAAAATGGTTTGCCATTTACAATATTTTCTGCATATTTTTATCAAATTATTTACCAAATCTGTTCTACAAAAAAGAAAAGTTTTCCTATCTTCAAAACTGCCCTAAAAAGCCCACCTGTTTCTCTTTTGCACACTTCATTTGTGAGGGAAAAAAAAAATAGAACAAATTTTGATTTAAAAACACTGAGGTGAAACAGGGAAGGTAAAAAGCAAAATGTATTTCCACAAGATGGACCATTTGAAACTGATTTTTATTCTGTCCTTGAGGAAATAACTCATTTTTCACTAAAATCTGGTGATAGATAGCCAAGGTATCTGGTCTTCAGCAAAGAATGGGATATTATTAGGCAAACTGGCAAAAATGGGGCTTAAAGGGAAGCAAGTGGGAAATTTACTTACTTACTGTACTAAAATCAGTGAACAACCATCCAGATTATTAAACCAGGTGAAGACTGAGCATGAGTGGAGGGGAAGTGCTAAAATACTAAGAACTACTTGGGCTGAGCTGTGTTGAATTTAATGTGACTTGAGGCACTGACCTTCATACAAGCTCTCTCTTTCTGAAGCCCCTCATCTTGATAAGCCCTGCTTATAAAGCTCCATCACAATGAAGCTGACCATTGTAAGTGTGGAGGCCAAGGGTGAAATCCTGGCTCTGTTGACATCATTAACAGCTCTGCCATTGATCTGGACTGGGGCAGGTTCAGCCCAAATTAAAGCAGTGGCCTTGCTGACAAGCCACCACCAGTCAAAGAGAGGCCCCGTTTTTGAGTTCGTCAATCCCATGCATTATATTCAATAAAGGTCAATAAGATGGAAGGTCTTGGATTTAGATGGCTTGAAAGATAAGCATGCCAGGCTGAAACAAGACTCCAGAGAAATCAAGGGACAGCATTATTTGGATATTTGCTGTATGGTTTGTTGGCGAATTTTAAAAATGTGCTCTATCCATATTCAAATCCCGTATAAACCAAAGTAGAAGAATATGATCTCTGTGGGAAGAGGTCATTGAAATAATATCTGTGCACCTGCCTACAGATCTATGCAAGCATTTTCAAAACAGACATTTTGGAAAGAGGCAGCTAATCTATTATTGTTTCCGTGCAGATATTTATATAAATCCTCTTCTTGTAAAATGCCACATACCCTGCTAAGCTTTGAATTTAGTCACAAGAGGCATAATGTAAATAAAATCTAAAACTGAAGTGATTTAGGGATCTGGACTTAATATGTGCGACTGTGTAAGAATTATGTATTAATTATAAAATCATTAATTTAAAAGGATAGTGCTTGTAACTTTTTTTACTGACTCTTAAACATTTTCTGCTTGAATGTATTTCCTTAAAGAAAATCTAAAAATGTTATTTGAATAGCAGCCACCACCCTATCTTATCAATCAGCTGTACCTGTTAATTTAGGGCAGAATCACTTGAACACGGTTGGATAATATACCACGTAATACCATGTGTGTGCCAGTGCACACACGTGTGTTTATCCGTACATGCCTTTGTTAATTTCCTTCCTGAGACCAGCACGCTTTGGAATGATATTTTAATTTGTTATTATGAAAGGAATGGCAACTGGTTTTTAATGGTTACAGAATGGTGACTCACAACACTGTCCCAGATGCTGTCACCGTCGCTATGAGAGCAGATTTGCAACATCTTGTCATAGGCACACATCAGTGCTCCTGCCTGCTGCCTTCATCCCAGAGGACAGCCTAACACCTGCTGCTGGCAGCGTGCCGGCCCTTCGGGGAACAAATGTTCCACTGCTGCTGGGTGATAGGAGAGGACAGACTCGAGATTCCAAGTGAACTGGCTAAAGGCACCCCAGGGCTTGGTGCACCCACCCCAGCACCCAGATGGTTGCTGTTTCTGTAGGAATATTAGAGAGTGAGTGGTATGCCTATAGCTGTCTCCTATAAATAAAGGAAAAGAGAAAAATCAACAGCACTCTTGGGGATAAGATTTCTAGCGTTTGCTGTTGTTTCTTAAGAAAAACAAAATCAGTATTTTTCCAGTCAGTATTATACTGATGGACTGCTACGTGCCTTCTCTGTATTTATCCACATAAACAACTTTGAAGACTGTGTTAGAGATACTTTTTTTAATAGGAAAATACAAGCACAGATCCACTTCTGGAAGGTTAATGTGCTTCTTTCCTGCAGGATATCCTTAACCTTAGAAAATTTACAAATCCTAGACAAAATAGACATGATTTTTATATTTCACATAGTGTTCAGCTTCCACACCTTTATGTTGCCAGATGTTCTACATTAAGATAGTTGTAAGAACAAAACAAAAAGAAGAGTAAATACATTTTCTATTTCTTTTAAATCTATTTTTCAATACACTTATTGCAGAGTTATAAGAATACTGTGCACTAGTTCTGGAGAGCCCAGATTTCTCACTGAGGTCAAGGAGAGCTAAAAGGACTCCTGGCTTGGAATAAGAAGCTCAGTGCAGTTCAGGATCAGGTCTCTTGGATAGCGTGTAACGCGTTTCTTTCCATTTATTACCATTCCACATCCAGTGGGGTGATAAAAGCAGCGTTACAATGTCTTCACTTCATGTGGATTGAATAGCAGGCTAATAAAGATGAGGGTGGTGCTTTTTTCAGCTGTTATACTCAAATTTCAAATAAGACCATTTTTATTCTCTGCTTTTGAAAAGGCTTTTTGTCCACATTATTCCCCAAAGCTTAGATCAAAAACATGTCATGTTTCTGAGGGAGGCACAATCCAGGACACAGTGCATTAGTATTTCAGCTACTGTAATATAGATTTTGATACTCTTGAATTTCAGCCTTTGCACAGGAATCTGCTCCTGTGAAAATAGGATCCCTTAAAAATAAAAAGATTGATCATATATTTATAAAGGGTGGCTTGATCCAAAGCCTCTAGGTTTTGCAGTTTAATTCAGTGTGGTTTAAATGAATGGGCAGTGGAGCAAACCCCAGGTGATATTTCCCTTTCCCTGCAGTGTGCTGCACTTCTCTGCAACAAATCAATCAAATCTACATCACAATACACTGAGCAACACTGAACTACCAACAGGAGAATTCTGGACGACTTTCACTGGTTAAAGTTTCCCTCTCTTTCTCTTGTTAGGTTAATGGCTGGGATACGTCCCTGTAAATTCTTCGGAAAGAGCAGCATCATACAAACAGTGTCAGCACTCTGTGGTTCTTTGAACACATATTCCTATGTTATTTTTTCTGATGATCTCTAAAGGAAGGTCCCAGATAATGCCAATTCCCAATAATCTCCCTGCTAGTGATCCCACCACTGGCCCTGGGCGAATTTCGTTGTTTTTCTTTGTTCCCCGACTGCTTCTGTAAAAGGATGCTAATAATATCCCCACCAGAGAGATGCTGGGTGAATCCCTGTGCCTGCAGAGAGCTTTGAAGATGAAAAGGCTTATTTAAATGTTACATATTGCCAATAGTATCATTATTAAAGCTTAAGGGTGCATTCTGCCCTCAGATGGACACACACAGCTGCCTCTATCCCTACTGTCCATGTTTACACAGAGAACTGTGCAGTGGGGCAGAGCTGTGCAGATCTGGAGACTGTGAGTTCAGCAAGAAAGCTTTGCTGGAGCAAAGCAGGGTTTTATGTGCAGATGGCAGGCATGCAAATTTGGTATGATCACAATTTAGAGGTGCTTGTAAAGCATTTGCTTTCACTGAACTCTTTACAGCTTCAATTTCTACAATGATATTAGCTACAGTGAGAAAGAATAGAATGGAAGAGCAGAAGAAATACTTATCATAAACCTTTGGATAAATCTCCTATTCAAAAGTGAGCTGATCTCAGGCAGTCCTG